AAGACTGCTCAATAAAACACTTTTTTAAAAAGGAAGTTTAGCAAGACTTCATGACCCTCCGCCTTTTTTTCTCTTAATCATGCAGAATGAAGACTTACTTTCTTATTTACAATACTTCTAATAACCAGAGAGAACGATCATTATACACATTATACACATGCATGTGTGTATCTGTGCATGTACTGAGAACAGATTATGTTCAGATCCCACAGGTCCAACCCCCTATGCAGAGATTGTTTTCAAAAGATGTGGGATTTCTCTCTCCCAATTGATGTGAATATTTGAATATTTGTAGGGACATGTCAAATTTTTCGGCCATGACTGAGATCAATGCTGACTCTCTCTCTCTCACACACACACAATGTTAGGTTAATTCGATGTCCACATTGGCTTTGTATTTCGCTCCCAGCTTCGGGTATCTGGCTATTCATTCTTGCTGTTCTTTTTGAGAGTCGGAACATTTCGCATTTCTGGCACAGTGGCCCCTTGCCTGAGCCCATTGTGAATAAGGTTCCAGTTTGCTATTTGGTAATCAACTCCAAGTGACAGAGCAGAGATACAAAGTGCTACCAAAGCACACCAAGTAGGCGTGGCCTACACCTGGGTTTATGGAAAACCTCTGTGGGTCTGAGGCTGGCCTGCACAACAGCCTGAGAGCCAGCTGTCAGCACGGCACGCTGCTACAACAAAATCGGGCACGGCACACACATTCACGCTGAAAATTAGCACAGCACACCCTAAGGAAAATCAGTATCAACCCCACCCCCATGGCTCAGTATTTGTCAGGATATCACAAAAAGCAAGCCAGCCCCTTTGGCTGGGGCTATCATGCAATCTTTGCTGACACGGGACCTGTTCTCCAGGTGTACCCAAGATGGTGACTAGAAAGGACCCAACATCAGTAGGAGGGGCTGAGATCCCTTTTGCATCTACACAGTCTTGTTAGGAACGGTTACTGGACATGGTGACACATGGCAGGTCCCTTTTGCAGATGTCTAGGGCTTTGCAAGCTATGCTTGACCATCTGTGTTTTCCTGTCCACTTCTAAAGTTGCTCAGAAATCTGCGACAAGCTATCCATATACAAGCTCTACAGACAAGCTAGCCACGTCTATATACTGAGCAGGAGCCTGGCTCCACCTCTGTTAACATGGTTCAGTGTAATTACCTTAATTAAAGAGGGCTTGTTGCCTTCATTTTACCCTCAGGCATATGGGCCAGAAAAAAAAATGCTGGCCTCTGATTTGCATTCTTGAGAAAAACAGGAAGAGGGAATCAACACAGATTAAATTTCCTGCCTTGAGGCCAGAACATTCAACAGAAAACATCTTTCCAGTATTCCCTGGGCATCCTGGATTTTTGGAGACCTATATTTTATACCCAGGCCTGTGTTTTGCAAGAACTTAGGGTCAGGCAATAGCTCCATTAAAATGGACTAGTTAGTGCCTCACATTCTGATTCCCAATGGCAACGAAACAAAGGAATAATGGTAATGATTATGACAACGCACAACGGCCAAATTCGTGCTGAATTGGTACCTGCCATGCTCCGACCTTGCCCAAAATTCAACACAGGCTAAGCCTCCCTATGGAGTGACTAAAGAATATGTTAATAAGGAAAAGCTTAGAAAATAGAAGCCAGCCCACTCACCACCAGAAATTGTTCTACACAAACACTAACGGGGCCTACCTGTTCTTCAGCACCAGGCTCCACACTCTGTTTGCTGATGCGGCTTACCCAGCCCTAGTGGATTGTCACCTAAGAGCAACATGGGAGAAAGGGAAGAGGAAGAGCGAGGCTAAAGCATTCTGGCTTTTTTTTTCTTTGTTGGTCGTGGGGCTTGAACTCTGGGCCTAGGCGCTGGCCCTCAGCTCTTCAGCTCAAGGCGAGCGCTCTACCTCTTGAGCCACAGTGCCACTTCTAGTTTTTTTGTGATTTATTGGAGATAAGAGTCTCACAGACTTTCCTGCATGGGCTGGCTTTGAACCACGATCCTCAGAGCTCAGCCTCCTGAGTAGCTAGGATGACAGGCGTGAGCTATCGGTGCCAGCCCTGTTTTTTGTTTTTTAAAAATTGCTCCTGGACAGAAAAAAAAATGTGACAATCACATTGAGAGTGTCCTATCAGTCAAACCTCTAGTTAAAAATACTTGGCTAGAATAATATTCAGTGAGGTCATGTTGTGCCCTCCAGGCTGACGAGTTTTAGGGTGAACATTTGCATAAACCAGCCTTGGGGGGCTCAGGTCTAGTTCAGAGAGGTCCACTGGTGTGCAGCCAGGACTGTCTTATGTCAGTCAGAAAGGGACACCATCTATCAAAAAGTCCCTGTGACCCATGCACGCAGAAACTCTCAGAGTTTTAAGCAGGACTGACCCCCTCTTCTCTACAGTATTTACATGGAGCAGCGCTGGGAAGAACACGTCATGAGCAAGGCTGGAGTCCAGAAAACTGATCACCAGCAGCGGGGGCAGGTTTGGCATTGCTCAGCTCAGGCTTTGAGGGCATGTATACACACCAGTTCTCTAGTTCACAGGAGAGGACGAGAGGAAAAGAGGTTGTGCCTAGCAGACCTCGCCATTATAGAGGTGTCTCTACAGCGAAAAGAAACAAGGGAAGCCAAGGAAGCCAGGCCTTTTATCCCACAGGGAGCCTAAACTACAGGTGCTCCAGCAGCTTCCTAGCATTACTGCAGCATCTGCCAGGGGCAAGGTGGGGATGTAACTGGTCAGAAGATTGCCTCTCCACAGAGTTGACACGTCTGCAGGGAGACTTTTTTTTTTTTTTGGTGCTATTGGGGCTTAACTTAGGACCCACAGCTGTGGACTCTGGATCCCAGACCTTTTACTGGTTATTTTACAGAACAGGTCTCTAGCTATTTGCCTAGGGCTATGAATCTCCTCCCTAACACCTTCCACACAGCTAAGTCACACCACAATTTGCAATTTGGCTTCATTGTGCAAACGGGTGAGTTTCGTTTTTGCCTGGGGCAGGCCTCTACCTTAATCCTCCTTATCTCCACCTTCCCTGTGGCTGGAGCGCAGCTGTGAGAGCCGAGCTGCTACACTTCTAAACAGGGGGTCAGAAGCCCAAGTATGAAAGAAAATGTGATATTCTATCAACACACGTGTTTCTACTACCAGAAGTTACTGTTTCTGATTGCACATCACTGAGAAAGGATTTTGTGTGCTTTAGAAACCATTACACCTTTCTACTTTGGAAAAACCAAGTGTTAAGGAAGCAAGGATGAAATCCAATATTCCTTACAATAATCATAATCATAATAAAAATTCTGAGAGGCAATTTCAAGGGAAGCAAAACTCAAGAATGAAGAATGCTGTAGTACAAAATTATGGCCAAAAATACTGTATTTTTAACCAGCAAGATCATTGGGGGCATTATTATACAACATTAGGTGTTTTTTGCAAAACTAGTTCCCATCCCCAAACAATAGACAATACATGCATTTGAATGACACTTTAAGAACAGTAAATATGATTCTTTTTAAATACTGCAAGTTAAAAATGTTTTGTGACAAAACTCCCTAAATACACAGGTCTAGTTAGGGCTTCCAACGCAATGAAGGGAGGATGCGGAAGCTGCATTTAGGGTTCTTTGCAGAAAAGAAATCCACCCCAAACAAGTTCCAATCAAAGCCATGTGGACCGAGTTACACAGTCATTTCCCACTTGCCTTTCTCAAACCTGGAAAAGTGTTCGACTAAGGAATAACTTTCCTGTAGTTTCTTCTTCTATGGAAGTCAGAATTCCTTTAGCCAAGTGAGATCCAATCTTACCCAAGAGCTGCTGTGTAACATGTAAATGCCATCAACTATTAGGCTGGAACCATACAGAGAAATGGACGTGCTGCTGCAAATGAGGAGGGTGAGGAGAAGAGCGTGTAACACACTTCGGATATATGATTCGAGAGGCCGAGTGTCACTGAGGGGCAGTGGTAGCGAGGAAGACAACAGGAAATGGTTGGTTTACAAGTGTGGACTTGGTGCTAAGTTATCTCCCAAATAGCAGGTGTCTGGCTCCAAAAACCTCTAGCTAATCACAGACAACTACAACAGCTCTTTTCCTAACTGCATGGAACTGAAATGGAATCCCAAAGACACAGGTACCAGGACAGATCTACTAAACACCACTTAGGCTGGAAGTATGCAGACACAGATAAACATACAATATTACTAGTTTTAATCTTTGATGTGTTTTGAACCAAAGAGATTTCTGGAAGAAAAGATGAATGTGTACCAAGTACATTGCATTTGTATCAATTGAGATGTTGTTCATGACCAATTAAGTGGTTTGAAAAACCCTTATTTGATTTTAAGAAGAGCAGCAATATACATTACAATATTTGGGTACACTTTATTTTTATATGGGTTAACATTCTGCTATATTTCATTTCATTCTTTTTTTTTTTTTTTTGAGAAACTGAAAACAAAGGGAAATCAAAGGTAACCGGAAGGTAATCTCAGGGGAATTTCCAACCAGTATGAGTCTCGCAGTGTCTCATTATGCAGCCCTTTCTTCCCATTATTATTATTTTTTTGCAAATAATAGTCATTTTGACCCAAATCCAGCATCAATAACTTTTTACCAATTCCTAACTTAAGACAACTAAAAATGTACAATCATGTGGCAGTATAAATTTTTAAGTTACAGTTTGTACACCATGACAATCAAGATAGTCTGAAGTACAAAAAGTAAATTGCCCTTTAGCTGAATTACCTTTTTAAAATATCAGGCCTGCTAGTCTACTGACAGAGAGAAAGATGAGGGGGAGGGAGAGGGAAGGAAGGGGGGAGAGGGAGGAAGAGGGAGGAAGAGGGAGGAGAGGGGGAGAGAGGGAGAGGGAGAGAGAGAGAGAGAGAGATTTTCAGGGTTTTTTCCAAACACCTTTTGTAGATATCACCTGCTAGTAAACAACATATACAGGTTCCTAAGGTTTTCTTTCTTTCTAGTCTACTCATGACATTCAACAGCGCTTTTTTTTTGTGGAAATGTTAAAAAAAAAAGAAAAAAAAAACGCCAATGACTTCTAAGGGGATTCACTGACTTTTAATGGATGTGCTATTTCCCTTTGTTTCAGAGATGAGGCACAGACTTCTGAATTTAAGCTCTGTAAGGCATAGTACAAACCTCCAATTACAAATAAGGAATTCTCTGTGTGTCCGAACTGCCAAGTCACACCAAAAAATGGGGGGGAAATCATCTGTAAACTGGTAGACTGCGGTGTGTTAGGTGAGTCATGAAATGGCTGCTGGCCTTGGTAAGCTGAAAAGGTTTCTGTGTTTGGTATTCTGTGTTTTGAAGAAGACATGCCCAAGTCACCAGAAAACAACCACAAGTCCCCATCACCTAGAGCATCAACAACAGAGCCCAGTGCCCACGCACAGGAAGCTGCAGTCCCCAAGAACAGAAAGCAGGAGGATCCCTTCCCACCCGGCCCCTGCAACCAAACACCAAACAAACAACAACAACAAAAACCCTTTTAGTCCAGCGGACTGGTGTGAATACAATTAGGTTTCTACTTATCACTGCAGCTAGGGTGATCAATTTTTTCCTTTCTCAAAAGAAGGGAGCCTGTCATGCACCCCAGGATGAGCAGTGAAGCCACAAACCTCAACTCTGCATAGCAAATTCCATCCTAATTTCATAAAGACAACTATAACAATCCTTCCTTGTTTTGCTCAGATTCTTCGAGCTTTGAGATCAGGTTTAATCGACTACATCTACTATAGCTCTATTAAACAGAATATCTTCATCCCCCTAGAACTGTAACACTATGATCTTGTGATGAGGTTTTCTTTATACACACGGTAGGCCATCAATGTCGTTGCTTACTTTTGTTTTCTTTCTTTTTATTTGTTTAAAATTTTGTTTTGTTTTGCTGCACCAAATTTCAGATCGCCCTTTCAGGCAAGCAGTGGTCTCTAGCTGTTAAAACATTTCCTTAGTGGATCACAATAGCTTCTAAAACTGCCTTTCTAATAAAGGCCGTCAGAGAGGTAATACTAAACTGTGCATTTGCCAAATAAGAATATGAATTGTATAAAAGCTCATATTCCAATCCTAGATCAAATGGCAAAAGTTCTACAAAGTTGGTTTCCATGTTTGTATAAAAGCTCTGACTGATTTTTATGTGTTTTGCTATGAAATTACCTTTGGGTCATGTAACCAGTATACCTCTACTCAGGAATGTGCAAATGATTTTATACAGCACGATGCTAGTACCGCTCTGTATGATAGTAAGTTTTTTTTCTTCTCCTTTTCTAAATGGAAAAAAAAATCCCTAGTCAGAAATAAACTGACAAATTTACATTCTCCTCTCTTAAAAAAGTAAATAAAATAACATTATTCAAAATGTGAATTAGCTATAAGACATACAATACAATTACATAGATACATATCAATACAGCACATTCAATCTGCCAAAAATTAATGATTACAAAGCCAGTATGGATGCTGCAGTATCAAGAGAGATGTATGTACAATGATTAGAGCATTCAGAATTGCACTATACCTACAGTCTGTTCATTAAATTACAGATGTTTTCTGAGCACGGAAAACAAAAGTAACCTGGGAGAGAAGAGTGAGAGCTCTTTCTTACTGGTCAGGAACTGTCTGATGAGCTGTAATTCTTTCCCTCCCCTGGGTTATTCTGCCAAAGTGTTTTTGGTGGAAGTTTAGATTAGTGCCAAATGATATTGAGACCAGTACTCTGGCCTAATTTTAACTCCTTGGCAGCTTTAAAACCATGATTACTTTCTTAAGTCACATTTCAACTTCAGCTGCTTGACAGAAGCTTTTCCATACAAGTTGTATTTTTTGCATTTGTTGAAAAGTTGCACATGTAGAATTCTAGTTCAGTTACATAAATATATATTTGATGAAACACTGAAAGGTTACTTTTGAGTTAGGTCCATAAATCTTCCTTAAGTTCAACTTAACCAGTCACTAGTTCAAGAAAATCTTGACGGTCAAAACTAGCAGTGACTTTTTATTTTTGCAAGTTAAAACTGTCAGGATAATACTATCAATCAATAGTTCTGGCAGACTTACTTCAACTTAAAGAACATAAAGAGTAAGTAAAACTTGCTTCAAGAAAGAGACCAAAAAAAAAAAAAAAAACCCAACCCAGATTTGATGATGAATCACGGGTATTTTTTCTACACTGCTGATTTGGACACTCAACATGGGATGTGGACACTGTACAATGTGACCTCAAGGGCAAATAAAAGAATGGACCATGAGAGTCAAATTTACAGTGAGTTCCCAATTGCTTGGCAACTGGTATTCCAGGTTCATTTTCAGCCAGTCACTGCCGGCTTCACAGTCCTCCTCTTATATTTTAAGACACTGGCTTTCATTGTTAAGCTCTTCTTAATGCATTCTATTTTTATAAAAAGCCAGCTTTGGCAACACATATTCAAAATAAAAAATCATTTTCAAATTGTGTCCTAAACACAAAGGAGAAAAAAGAGGGAAGGAAAAGTTGGAAAAAAATAAAAACAGGAGAAGAACCTATGAAAAGGTAGCAGCCACTGGGGGAATGTAGTGTCTGTTGGCATATTATTTGGTATTGTGATTTTAGAGAGGATAAAGAGGAAAAAAGCGAAAAAGGAGGAAGAACATGGCACATGAACTTCAAAAGAAAAGACTGTGTGTGTGTCTTTGCTCAGGCCCTCTGACTTCACCGAGTTTCTCTGAGCCATCAAACTATGGCTGAAATACAAAACCCCCAGTCCAAGGGCAACAAGATAAAATGCATATTTAAAAAGAAATACTAGATACGTATCCAGAGCAATACATTTAAAACCATAGAAGGAATACATATAATCCTTCAGCAAAAACTGTTAAATCAAGCTGATATAAGATGGCTTGAATTGAATGATGTTGTCCTGACTGTATCATTCAAGAAAAAAACTTGACCAAGAGAGGAACTAGGAATCAAGGCTGCTAATGTGTAATGGGAGGGAGGGCGGGGAGGAATCAGTAGGGAGGTATGGCTGAGGAAAAAGGGAAATCAGCTTTGTTTTGCTCAATAGAAAAGAAAGATACAGAGAGAAAGAGAAAGAACGCTTATCTTCGTGGAGTACAGGACTGAGAATTTAAAGTACATTGAGTCACAAGGTTTTGCCTAAAAAAAGAGAGGAATGTGCTGGGACCGTACTTCAGCATCCTCTGTTTTTTCCTCTGAATAGTTTAAATAAAATCATAATATTTACTACAAACTCTGTGGACTCACTCACAGAGTCCAGGACGGCAATAAATTAGTATTATGCAAATTGTTTTCCACAGAAATCCAGTCCCTCTTGTGTATCTTCAGCAGCCCACCAGGGAAGGGGAGGCAGGTTTCTGGGCGGCCCCATCAGACCAGATTGTACTCCTTCAGGTTCAACTGGAGGATGGTGTCTTTGACGGCAGCAAAGACAAAGCGGATGTTCTCGGTGTCTGTGGCGCACGTGAAGTGAGAGTAGATAATTTTGTCACTGTCTGGGTTCAGGTCCACGAACATCTTCAGGATGAATTCTCGAGCTGCCTGGGCATCTCTCTGGGGTCCTGTTAGCCAAGGGAGGAGAGGGATCGTTGGTTAGCTGACCCGTTAACACATCTGTTTGTTATTCATTCAATAAAGATCGCTTGTATTGATCAAACAGGTCTGATCTATTATAGTCATGTATGTTGCCTTATACAACTGTGTGGCATCTCTCCTCTTGGTGGCTTTACTTGCCCATCCATCCATCCATCCATCCATCCATCCATCCATCCATCCAAGTAACCAGTTATGCATGCACAAAATGTGGATAGATGCAAATGGATGACTCAAAAGCTAGATGAAGTTTATTTCCATTTCCTCCCTCTGATTCCTGGGTACACAGAGACCCCGGCAGTCTCTTCAGAAGGGGGTGGTAGTTTGCTTCTGCTGCTGTGGGTGGACTGGGTCAATTCTATACAGACACGGCTGCCTCGAGACCTCTCGCCGTCCCCTAAGACTCATCATAATGAACTGCTTTACATTCTCCAGGCTGAAATGTCACTCAGGACTGAGATTCCTGTTCCTGACGTCCAGGTCCCGGTCCAGCGGCCGCTGCAGTCTCATGCTGCGCTCTGCATTCAGTTCACTAGGTGTGATGGTTAAGAAAGCTGGCTTGCATTTTCTTATATTTATTGGGGTCTCTTATGTCCTAAGCACTTTCCTAGACACTTTACAAAAGAACTGTGCTATATTTATTTGAATAAATCACAAGTGTGTATAATAATTTTGCTTTGGATCCTTGGGATCGCTAATACCAAAAAAGAGCAAAATGAAAGATAAACTGGACTTCATCAAAAGTAAATACATCTGTGCATGGATTTAGCATCTTGAATATATAAAGGACTCACGACTTAACCAAAAAGCAACCCGCCTGATTAGAAACTGGATAAAAGACATGAATCTATTGTTTCATAAGAAAACACACAAAAATGATCACTAATCACTAAAAAGATGTCTAAGCAGGTGGGCACTAATGGCTCACGCCTGTGTTCCTGGCCGCTTAGGAAGCTGAGCTCTAACGATCACAGTTCAAAGCAAGCCCAGGTGAGAAAGTCCATGAGACTCGTTATCTCCAACTAACCACCCAAAAGCTGCACGTGGAGCTGGCCTGGGTCAAACAAGCTCAGGGACAGTGCCCAGGTCCTGCGTTCAAGCCCTAGGACGGGCACACATGTGGATGGCCACTCCCCGCCACTCCCCACCCAAAGACATGTCTAACTCCCTTTCTTTACTGAGATACCCCTTCCCATCCGTGCACTCCCGTACTGTTGGTGGCCTGTACAATGGTGTAGCTCCTATGGAAACCGTCCGATGGTTCCTCAAAAAGCTAAGCTAAAACTCCTGTAAGAGTCAAGCAATTCTACTCCTAGGTATATACAAAAAAGAACTGAGAGCAGGGCCTCTCACCAGTGGCTGTTAACAGCACTGGTCCTGAATGACAGCAATAGCGGGAAACATCAGTGATGAATGGTACGCCAAAAGGAGTATCCACGCAATGAAATGTTACCCTGTTATAAAAGGAATGGCATTCTGAGAGCTGTTATACAATGCACAGATCCTCGAAAACATTATAGAAAGTAAAAAGTTATCATACATGATCAAATACTGTATGATTCCATCTACAAGAGGTATCTAGAACAGGCAGGTTCAGAGACTGAACGTGGAGTGGAGACTGGGATGGACTGAGGGAGGGGCGGGGGGGGCGTGCTGTGACTTAGTTGGGGCGGCGAACACATTTTAGAAATACTGGTAATGGCTGCAGAGTAGTGTAAATATAATTAATGCCACAGAATTACACACTGCAAATGCTTGAGAGCACAAGTTTTGTGCTCTTTGTATGGTATTTTATTGTAATCAAGAAAATAATGTAATACACCCGAACCATTCATTTTATACTTTAAGTGGGTGAGTTAATATCACAGATGAATCATATCTCAAGCTGTTAGAAATGTATTTGATAGATTCTGAAAGTATAATTTAAAACTTACTGCACACGAGTAGCATCAATGACCCCCAGACCCAGCTCTACAGTGTTACACATTATGACATGCTGTTACAGGTGACCTCTACCACAGCACAGGAATACTTTGGACTGACTTCCTCTCCCCACTTCCTTCCCTCAGCACCGCCTTCCACAACTTGGCCTTTTCTGACCATGTTCTTGTTATATGCGAGCTGGAATAAAGGGACTTTTGAGAACAAAGGTGTCAGGACTGACCACCATGGCTAACGAAGTGTATCCTGAGCTCCAGACAGCCCGTGGGGGCAGTTCACGTCCAGGTGTCCCTCCCTGTGCTGCGAGCCAGCTCAAGCCCACACAGCCAGGGCCGAGGAAACGCAGATGAAAGCAGGCAGGTTGGTCTTCCTTCCTCGTTTGGCCAATGAGCACATGTACTGACTTAGACTATGTCAGAACTGAACCTTTAGATAGTGATTAAGAAGGCTGGCACTGTATTACATAAAAATGCTGCACCACTAGAAAACAATGTCCTCTACAATTACTGAAGTGCTCCTTTCACAATTATCCTGAAAATAGTTAAAACGAGACATGAGTGGAATGTTGAAGCGGGAGAAATGGTATTATTTTGAAAGGAAGGGACTGTAACTACCTTTTAATTCTAAAGGAAAACTAGAACTAGATTCAAGTTCACTGAAGTGCACTTGGAGTATATTATGGTTTTTATGCATAAATTATGTTATTTGAATAAACATAAACTACAAAGCAATCATTATAGACAGCACAGCAGGACGGGAATTCCCCAGGCTCTATGAACAAGTTCCCAATTCAAGCCCATGTGGAAGTGGTAATCTCCCTTCCTGAAAAGAAATGCAGAAATGGCATGCATTCTGATCAAAACCTTGTTAAGTGCAGAAATAAAAGAGTGTGAAATTTATAATACTATAAACACTCTTAGCACAGCAATGCCACTGCAAAGTGCGCCTGCGTTCTTTCCGGACTTCTCAGCTCCTAGTGCCAGGGCTTAAGACTCGTGAAATGGCAGCTGCCTCTGCTTGGAGAAAAACAAAGCCAATGTCTTTTCTTCGCCTCTGGCCAAGTTTTCTATGGCACAGTGCGTAAAAGGCTGGGTGTCTGTCTCACAGTTAAAAACGGCTTCACATTTCAACCATCTGCAGCGGGTGGATACTGGAAGGCTGGGCAATCTGGGGACTGGACTGGCCACAAGAGGTCTGTATGGAGACTGGAAAGACGCTGAAGACAGACAGCAACGGTTCCACAAACACCCATCACTGAAAAATCAGTCTCACTGCAGAACAGTGCCCACCACAGGGTGTGGCTGCCGGCTGGGGCCGAGGGGCCACGGGTCTTCAGCAACGTGGGTGGGCAGTGCTATCTGTCCTTGGCAGGCCTGCTGGAGGCAGGAGAGGACGCAGGCCCACGGGCTGGCACCGTGTGGCCATCTTCAGTCTGCTGGTTCTCAGTCATTTCTGAGAAAAATGACAGGTGTGCGCCGGGGGTGCGAGGCCAGGGAATCTAAGCGTGCGCCGGGGCCCCTCAGGCAGAGCTGCGGGGAAAGGCCACGGCGGCGGCTGCAGCTCAGTCCTCCACGCTTCCAGAGCACGGAGGGACAGGCTCAGGCTCTCATGACCTCCTTCCGGTGGTGAGTGGCAAATCGGAAGGAATCAGTATTTAAGGAATTCTTCTGTTCTTTCTAAGGTATTCTTCTGTTTTTCAGAAGAATAGCAAAGCATGAAAAATGGACTCCCCGAGAGAGGTTGTAAGTACACTGCAAACCAAAGAGGGTACTACCTCTTACGACCTAGGAACTGTCTCAGACACGCCAAATTCACCCTCCGCTTCAACTCCACCCTCTGTAGATTTTCGGTAGATGGGAATACCAGCTCATATTTAATTTCACTTCCAAGGCACAGAAAGCTGCTCCCACCTGCCACCTGTCTGTGTGTTCTTAGACAGCTAAAGCCAACCTGCACACAAAGTCAGTGAGCCCCCTCTCTGAACCAATAGCTAGACATGGTAGTATATACCTGTAATATCAGCTATGAGAGAGGAGCAGGCCTGAACAAAATAGCTCATCTGAAAACTAAACGCAAAGGGCTGGAGTGCGGCTCAAGTGGTGAAGCGTTTGCCCAGAAGCAAGCACGGGTCCCTAACTTCAAGGCCTTCTATCAACCAACCAACCGAACACTTTTCTTGCTGGCACTTAACAAAAACGATGTTATGTTATAATGACACAATGAGAGTTTACAGCAGGTGTAACAAGTACTTCGAGATTTGGCTGCTTGTGTTAGGTATGACTCCAATCCTTTTCATACGCTGGAGGATACTAAGTAGAGTTAAACTTGTCCAAAGAATACAGCCAATAAGTGGCAGAAGTAGAGTTTTGAAATATATCAAAGTGCATGTTCTTTATTGCTATCCCAACTTGAGTTGGCAAACTGTCTGTCTGTAAACGGCACAACTATCTACTGCTGCTGCTGTAGTATGAAAGCAGCCATAGGAATGGGTATGGTTGTGTCTCAATAAAACTTTATTTATAAAACCAGGTATCAGGCCACGCTTTGCCTCTCTTAAGCTAGACTCAAAACACACAGGGCCGTGGCTAAGTCTCATCTTCCCTGGGGAGGTTTGATGTGGATGCACTTTATTAGTCAGCTACTGAGCGCTTCTCAGAACTGGGTGTCCAGTTGTTCAGAATTTCCCAGCATAGCTGGGAAGGCAGCATCAGTTTCTAAGGGTGAATCAAATAAAACCAAGCCATGGAGGACTGAAGTGGATACTGCAGATTCCAAGTGCTTCCAAGAGCCGAGGGACAGTGACCACTGGAAGGATGGAGGGACTTCCTTGGACCATGAAGTCCAGAAAGTGCTTCCTGAAAATTCACTGTGCGCGAAGCATCATGCTTTTACATGGGTAACACAGGATATCAAACACACTCACGAACTTGGTCTAAAGGCCTAAAAAAACCAAGTGACTACGATGGCTACGTTTTGCATTAGAAAATAAGTTGTTTAGCTGGGTGTTGGTGGCTCACGCCTGTAATCCTAGCTACTCAGGAGGCTGAGATCTGAGGATCAAGGTTCAGAGCCAGCCTGGGCAGGAAAGTCCATGAGACTCTTATCTCCAATGAACCCGCAGAAAACTGGAAGTGGCGCTGTGGCTCAAGTGGTAGAGCGCTTGCCTTGAGCTGAAGGACAGCGCCCAGGCCCAGAGTTCAAGCCCCACGACGACCACCACCACCACTACCAAAACATGTTTTATGTCGTTGCAAGCAGGGCAAGCAGGAACCAGTACTCCCGTAACTGTACTGCAGGCCCTGCGGCCTGCTGGCCCTGCGGCCCACTTACCATCATATTCTGGGAAGTAGTCAACTAGGTGGGAATACATAATTTTCTCCTCTAGAAGATCTTTCTTGTTTAAGAACAGAATAACCGAGGAGTTCTGGAACCAGGGATATGTGATAATTGTTCTAAAGAGTGCTTTGCTTTCCTCCATTCGATTCTGGAAGAAAAAAAATCAGAAAAACAAAAAGTGAATCACATGATTGATGACTCGGTCTGTGAACTGTGCTTTTTTTCTGAGCCTGACTCTTCTGTATGCTTCCCAATTTTTATGGCTTTGAGTTGGGATTACCAGAATTTATATGAAAATAATTCATGACATACATTTGGCTCTTTTCATTATGCAAACTCTCAGACTGACAAGCAGAGGAGAATAATCATAAAAACATCTCCTGAATTAACTTTGAAGGCTGAAAGGAAAAAACAATGCAGTCTAGACAATCATGTTGTATCTGGCGCATAGTCATAAATTTTCCCCCAATTTCTGATTCATGATCAAGTACTTAATGCATAAACTAAACACTAAATACCAAGCCTCATTTTTCATTTTCCCTTTCATTTCCTAATATATATTAATTTGGGCTTTCATGATTAGCTGCGCTTTGAACATCCAAAACAAAGTCCTAATTCTTTGCCCAATCACTACTAGAATACACACCTGTGTGTGTGTGTGTGTGTGTGTGTGTGTGTCCATTAATAAACAAGCACATGGGAAAAGATAAGCATCTGTTTATCACTGTACACTAGTTCCATGCTTCACATAAGTTTCAGACATAACTGTGGAGAAATACATGGTAACTTCCTGGAAGACAGCTTAGTCTTTCTAACCTCCAGCATTAATATGGACGTGTTGCCAGCTGAGGCTGCATTTCAAGCCTACTCTGCAAACAGAAACCCTCAAGGGATTCTTGAGGAAATCAGCCAATTTGTGGTAAGTGAAGATGCTAATGGAGGATGCTCCTTAGTCAGATAATGCCAGTCTCACGGCTTCTTCAACTCCTTTCCCTGTCTCTCTGAACCAGCATCAACACTGGGTCACAAGTAAAGGCAGGAATCTCCTGAGAACTTAAGAGCTGTGAGTGTGCAAACATTGTTAGGATGACAATCTATCTGCACGCTTCTTTCTCAGGCCCAGCAACAGCCTGCCTGGCACAGCGCCTAACTCCACGGCTCAGGGGCGGCTCAGCAGGCTAAGCCCCAGTGTTGAGCGGCCTGCAGGGTTCAGGGCCCTATCAGAAGGGGCTTCCCCCTTTCCTGGTGTTCACTGTGGTGACGCATCTTACTGAGCCAGTCAACCCCAGGACCTTTGCTAGCAACTCAGAATGAAAAACTTTCCTTTCATGAAGAATTTGCAAGAGAATCAAGAGCCTCAGGAGCTTTGTGCAGCGCGCAGGACGACCTGGCGAATGTGGGGCTGAAGGTGGTGCTGGACTTCGGGTCACCAACCTACCATTTCTCCTGAGCGCTGGTGCAGTGAGAAAGCTAGGGTGGAGGACAGAAGGGATGGAGGAGCTGCAAGCGAAGGTCTGCCTGTCTCCACCCCTCAAACACAGAAGCCCCAGGGGCTCAGAGCCGTACGCGCACAACCACCCGGATCTGAGCACATTGGGATCACTTCTTTCAGTCCACGTGGCTACAGAAGTGTCAGACTTGCCCAGTCCCCACGGACAGGTGAGTCACCTGTGCCATGGGTGGGAAGCTGAATGTGAAGCGTTCACTCAGCCCCAGCCCCGGGACGCACCGCAGGACGGTGTGAGATGACGGCCGTCCTCAGGGTCGTCAGAGGGCACTGGGCGGGGTTCTCACGCCTCTCACTCCTCACATCCCAACTCAATTCTCAGAGACATCTTTAGACAAAACCAAAGGATTTATTCAAACCACTTTTCAAGCAGTGTAATCTCCAAGAAGTACTGCTTGGTAATGTGATCTTCTGCTAACCCATGCTTGGATAAAGCTCCAGGTTCCAGTCCGGTATTGACCCAGTAAACGTCTGCAACCCGAGCCTCTTCCCTAGAGAAGAGCATCCAGTACTGCCACCGGCACACCCGCGAGACTGCACCTTTCACTGCACAATGCCATCCTCCGTCCTAATCCCTCAAGGCCCAGGTGGACTTCACCCTCACGCGATGTGTGTGACACATGCTTACCCTGGCGACAAAAGCCCTACTGCAGAACTGAGTAAAACAGCCACGCCAGGACGCAACTCAGGCCCAGAGTGGACCCACGGCGCCATGAAGAGAAGAGGCTGGGCACAGGAAACAGGGCAGAGAAGGCTTACACAGAAAGGCAGGTCTGAGTTGAATCTTATGGGATGAAAGGGAGACGATGAGAAAGAAAACTGAAAACCATAATCCTGTGAAGGGGTCCCCACGCTTCTCATCTCGAACAGGTGCAGGAACGTGCTAATGACATACAGAAGCCGAGAAGCCGCGCCCGGCCTGTGAGGGATGCAGGGGTGGAAGCGCTGTGGATCCAATAAAACAACTGGATGAAATGATGAAGGGCTCCAGGGGCCAAGTCCCCTCTGATGAAGGAAAAGGCCAGATCCAGCTGACAGAGCTCAGGACTCCTCATGCTATAGTCTAGTCCAAATTTCTGCAATGAAAAGACTCTCGAGAGCTAAAGTAGTCTCATCTTTTAGAAAGACTCGGTCAAAGCCCATCAAAATCAGCACCAAGAAACAGGTCCATGCAAGAGAGGTTGTGGGGTCCCGGGGAGAGGGGGAGGCGAATGAGGCGCGGAAGGGAGGAGAATGCAGTCATACAACAGACTGGAGGGCAGGGACGGAGGGGGCTGGAGGGGTAATCGGGAAGCACGGCATTCACAGACTGCTTTGGTAAATGCATCTCCTTTGTACAACCACAAAATTAAAAAAGAAACTACAGTTGTTTAATATATACATTATATATTTAATATATATTAAACAACTACCTACCAACTAACTACCAACAGCCTACCAGAACTATGGTTTATATCTGTACATTTGCAGCTCTGCTGCAATGGAACTTGATTTTGCTCATGCTCATTTCCTTGTGTCTTCCTGTAAAGTTGGTGATTCTGTTTGTTAAAAGTCAGCAGTAAACACTGAAACGGATCTGAACATCAGATTCAAAACCTTTTGCAACTTTTCATTATTTTGCTTATAATAAGTGTATGCTCTTTTCACAAAGCTCACTCATTTTCTTAAACAAAGAATGAATCGAGTCTGAGATCCTTAATTCTTTTACCTGATATAGCCACCTGCCTGCCTCTCTTGGTATTTTTTTGTTCCTGTTACTATCTTGACACACCACCTCGAATCATATTCCCCCGTGAACCAAAATGAGGCCTTAAATGCAGAATCACCTCATCAGCGGCGGGCTGAACACAGGCAGAAGAATGGAGGAACCCAGAAAAACTTGAATGTAGCTCTCCTGGATGGAGAGGTGTAGTGCAGTATCTAAGATGCACAGGGTCTGAGTGCACCACAGCCTCACTCACCGATACCAGAAGCTGTCAGGTGGCTCAAGCTTTTTGTTACAAAGGGAGACCAGGGACATGTAGTGTACTACATGAGTGAGTAAAGGAATGAATCCATGAGTGTGTCTGTGATACGGATCACTCAGCACAAGAGGAAAACACTTCACGATGATTCATAATACTGTGAATCTCAGATCTTCAGTGCTATAGGATAGGCCATCTGCCAACCACATACATTGTAATGTCTACTAACTAGCTCAGGGCTCCTTTGCGTCTCTCTCTCTCTCTCTCTCGGTGCTGTGTTTGAACTCAGAGCCTAGGTGCTGGTTCAGACCTCCCCCGCGCCCCCCCCCCCCGTCCTCCCAAGGTTAGTATTCTAGCACTTGAGCCACAGCTCCGCTTTTTCTTTTGGTAGTTTATTGGAGATGAGTCTCATGAGCTTTCCTGCTTGGGACGGCTTCTGACTGTGGTCCTTACGTCTTAGCATCCTGACTAGCTATGATTACAGATGTGAGCCACGGGCACCTGGCCAAACCCCCATTTTTCTCAACACCATTTGTTTAGAAACTTGACCAGAAAAGGAGATCATTAGAATACAGGGCTTTTGTGTTTTGGGAATTTAAACACCATAATTCACTTCCAATAGCAACAACAACAAAAATCTTCTCAGAAACAACTCATTCAAAACCATCTTTTAAATTAGCTTATAAGAGATCATTATTAAGACTGGGATGAACTAACTTATTTGTTACTTTATGTAATGACCCATGACACTGGGAACCTTTTATCGAAATTTATTATCATTCTCAATTTAGCAAACATCAAATAATTAAAAAAAATTCAAATCCCTAACAAGGAACTAGAAACAAATTCTCTCGAGTATTTACTTCATTTACTTATGTTTACTCGACAACAACTTACGCCAAAGCTTTATGAAAATAATTTTCCAGCCCAGTTTTTTGCCTGCTTCTTTCCTCCCTTGACTTTTTAGGGAAAAGCTTGCTGTGTTGTCTTCTTATCTCCAGTAAGATCACACTGTTACATGTCGTATCTGATGTCCACACTAGATTTCAACACATACTCAATGCCAAACTCCTGTGGGGGGGGGGGGAGCAGGAAAAGGGGAGGCTAGGGAGAGGAGCTTAGAGGAATCTGCTCTTTGAAAGTGTGCAAGGAGAGGGTGCTCATGGATAGGGCAGCCTGGTGAAGGACTTGTGAGCCGGGACCTCCCTTTGAAATGGGACTCTCTGTGACTAGGGGCAGGTGGCTGAGCCTCAGTTTCCCTTCCAGGCTCTTTGAGGACAGAATGAGACAGTCTATGCATTGAGACAATGCCATATATAATCTGAGAAGAATAGTTTTCAAAGGCCCTAGACACTGGTGGCAAAATTGCTATGCAAGACCCTCTTGGTAAGTGATTTGCTAACCTCAATCACCGTCCAAGTGGTAAAGCCAGTGATATCTTTCCATCATCTGGAGCTGCATATAATTTCAGATCTTGACACACGTGAATGATAAGACACTAGAAAATCATCCAGGTCTCTGTCAATTTCACATAATGCTTCAAGGGAGTAGCTGCAACATCTCTAAAAATGCTTAAGACACAATCCTAGAGCAAACCAAGAAAACAGCAGACACGAGGTAAATGGAGTGGCCACCGTGAGAAATAACTAAAGACAGAGCCTTAGCCAGCCCACCGCT